GGAAGTTAGGTCACTAAGGATGTGCCCTTTAAGGGGACCCTGAACCCCTCCTCTTCCCTTCTCCTGCACTTCCCAACTACAATGAGGTAAGGGCTTTCTCCACCATATGCTCCCATCATGATGTACTTTTTCACCAAAGGCCCAAAGGCAAAAGACAACCTACCCAGACAACCTATATCATAGACTGAAACCTCCAAAATTGTGAACTAAAATGAACCTTTCCTCTTGGGGGCGGGTGGTGCTGGGAATGAGCCCAAAGCCTTATACATGCTAGGCCAGGGGTGGCGAACCTATGGCACATGTGCTGCAGCGGGCTGTGTGTATCACTGAAAGCTCTAAAAGGTTTGCCATCACTCTGCTAGGCAAACACTCTACCACTTAGCTATACCTGCAGCCCAAGGCTTTCCTCTTTATAAGATGATTTAACTAAGATATTTGTTACAGTAAAAGAAAGCCAACTAACACAGAAGGGAACAGGAAAGAAAAGAACTGTTGAAATTAAAGGGATTAAAACAAAGGAAAATGAGGGCAGGGGATTTAGCTCAGTGGTTCTGGGGCCTGCCTTGCAAGCTCAAGGTCCCGAGTTCGATGCCCGGTACCAAAAAAAAAAAAAAATCAACAACAAAAACAAAGGAAAATGGGCTACATTTCCATTCAGTTTGTCTTTCTTTCAACTCTAGTTGAAAATCGAATTAGACTAATGCTAGCTCAGCGAGCCATACAGAGATATGTAAAGACCTTCAAGCTGTAGGCATTGTTTTTCTTAGGCCATGGACCCAGAAGCTCTTCTAAGTAGTCCTTTCTGACTGCTCCCTTTCACTGTTCAGTGGTTGGCCCATCTGAGATGACATCAGCACTGGCCTCAGGTGATCCAGAGGTCACTCACTTCCGTTATTCTCTGCTCTGACAGATAAGCTAACATGAGTCACCACTTTCTAATTTCACCTGATACCATTTGCACGGTTACAAGTACTCTATTCAGGCAAGCATACTAACTAGACATAACAAGCACTGTTCTAGTTCATAATTTGTGTGTGTATGTGTGTGTGTTTTCTTGAAACAAGGTCTTGCTATGTAGCCCAAGCAGGCCTCTACCTCCTGATCCTCTCCCCTCAGCCTCTGGGATTACAAGTGTGTGCCACCACACCTGAACTGATAATTATCTTGGAATGGAACTTTTTAATGCCTTTATGAGTTTATATGCACTGAATAAGATAATTATTTATAAGGTCATTTCCTACTGTAGTCCAAGAATCTGAGATGTCACAGTTAACCTGTTAAGTCAGCTGATGGATCCCGAACCCCAACATCAGCTTAACAAAGCACACTAAACACACTCCTTCATGCCTCTGCACAGGCTGTATCCTCTGCCTAAAATGTTCCTTTCCTCCACAACATCACGTGATCTTTATCTTCCCTGGGAAGACTTTCTGAACATCTCCCAGTCGTGTTTATGACTTTCCATTTCACCCCGGTCCCACCCTTGTGCCCCCTCTTGCACCACAGCACTTGTCACACCAAATGGCACTCATCTGGGTCCACGTCTGTCTCACCTACTTGGCTGTAAACTCCCTGGGAGCAAAGATCTCTTTTAGTCCCATCCTGGTCATCCTGGCTTCTAACACAATGTTCAGCACTCAAATGTCCAGTGAGAATGCAGTCACGTGCATCCTTAGGACATAATAAGGTTTTTAAAGGAATAACCATTCTATTTCTACTAACAAGAATTAACAGGATATTCACTAAATCCTACAATAACTAAATAAAACTTTCAAATTAAAATTTTTAATTGCAATATTTTCTCTGTAATCTTAAAATGTTTACCTATTAAAAGTAGCAATTCAGAAAAAGTATAGGGCTGGGGGTGTAGCTCACTGGCAAAGTACTTGCCTAGCATGACTGAGGCTCTAGGTTCAATGCCCAGTGCCACCCACACACACATATACAAAAGAAAACTAAAAGAGGAAGAAAAAAATATATACAATATATAAATGAACGGAAACATCACATTGTATCCCATAAAGCTATCAATAATAAAGAAAAAGAAAGACAGAACCTAGAGGCAATTTAAAAAGGAAAATCCGGGCTGGGGATTTAGCTCAGTGGTGCCGCCACCTGCCCCGCAAGCTCAAGTACAAGGACCCAAGTTTGATCTCTGGTACCAAAACATAAAAAATAAATTAAAAAAAGGAAAATCCTTCCCATATTTAACTATTAGCATACTTAACATTATGTATAATACGTGAATCCATAAACGTATGTGCCAGACATCAAACCCAGGGCCATCCATACACAGGCCAAACACACTGTATTCTACAATGAGTTACAAGCTCAGTCTGAGATTTTTCAAATCCTACTCTAAATGCTATCTTTTCTAACTTCATTTGAAAAAAAATTTGAGACTCTATGTGAAGTCACAGTGTTAGATGTAAGTGATACAAATATGCAAAGTATTTTTATTCATGTAGCTATTTTCTTGAAAGGGATACATAACACACAAAATAAATGTTTATTTCATCATAGTTGTATCAAGTATTGAAGCAGGAGGGTCCCAAGTTCCAGCTGAGCCTGGAGAAGTCAGCAACTTAGCAAGATCCTGCCTCAAAACTCAAACTAAAAAATAAAGCTGGAGGTGTAACCAAGTTCAATCTCAGTAGGACAAACAAACCAACCAACACTGTATCTGCCAATTTTGGGTAAAGATGATTAGGAAGTCATTAAAGTAACATACAGCTGGAGATTTAGCTCAGTGGCACTGTTCTTGCCTCACAAGCACAAGGTCCTGAGTTCCATCCCTGGTATCGAGAAAAAAATAAAAATAAAGTAAAATATAAACTCAGCTCTGAGGACAGAAAAGGTATCAGCTACAGTCAGGGTATGGGGCTTCCAGCTGTAGGAACAGCATGTGCAGGCCAGTACCCTGGGTAGGAGACGCATGTAATTCAGAAGCTTGAAAAGGATCAGTACGGCAAGAGGACAGGCAGTCAAGGGGAGAGTGACAGGAAATGAGGCGGGCGACAGTAGAAGGGTCTTCACTGGGCACTCAGTGAATTAGACAAGAACAAGAATTCAGGTTCTTGTGGAATTTATATTCTACAGAGGGCAATGGCAGCCTTTTGGGGTCTTGTTAACACTTTTAAGTAGGTGAGAAATATGATCATATTTATACTTGTTTCTTAAGTAAACATTTTATAATGAAGTATAACACACAGAGGTCTGTAGTTTCAAGATTATTCTCACTACAGTTTCAACAATTCTCTGACATTCAGAATTTTCTACATGTAAAAGAAAAAACTAGGGCTATACACTACTAAGTAATTTATTTTAGATTTTTCAATAAGTATTTCAAATGTAGAATATGGCAGGTAGAGTATGTGTGCTTAGCGGTGAAGAGGTGAATAAAATACTCTTGGTCTTACAAAACTTACAATCTAGTGAGACGTCTCAAAACTTGAATGTAGACTATGCTAGAAATGAGTAAAGTACTGTATAAGGGAGCAGAGAGAAATGAAATCTTCCCAGGCTTCCCTCTATGTTAAAGGGCTGTAATTTTTTTTTACTATAGCTTTTGGATTACCAATCATTCCTGTTCTTAGAATATAGTTGGTACTGAAGAAAATGTGACAAACAAACCCAGGACTTTTGACTCCTACTTCAGAGACTTGTCAGTTCTGCCCTAACTCTACAGTTATGCATGAATGCTAAGAATGATGGAATTACTCTGTAGCTCTACTTTTGAAGTTGCTTTTAGAGCCAGTGTACAAACCACAAAAGAAAATAAATCTCATTAACATCAAACTTCATTTTTGACCCCTCCTGAAAACCTTTTACCATATGTAAATATAGTCAATTTTTTAAAAGCAAATCTCCAAATATATAAAGTTGTACTTGTTATTTATTCACAGCTTTTTCTATGTTAACCATATCTTACCAAGGAAGCTTTCAGAGAATGAGGAGATGACAAGAAGCAAGAAAATATGCTATACACTCTTTCATAATTCATGACCTCTGTCCTCAAAGGGCTTATATTTTAATTTCTAACTGAAAAGTAAAAGCACATAAAAAGAAACAATTACAAGGTAGCATTTGTTCACCTATTTAAGATAATTAGGGCTGGGGATTTAGCTCAGTGGCACCATGGCTACCTCAAAAGCGCAAGGTCCTGAGTTCCATCCCTGGTACCAGGAAAAAAAAAAGATGTAGCTCAGCGTGAAGGGGCCTGAGTTCAATCCCCTAATATATTTATAGACTACTCACTATAGGAAAGGTCAGGAGCAGGGATGTAAAGATGAAGAAGGCAAAAGTCTGTCTTGAAAACACTGTCTTAAAGAAGCAGCCACTAACGTATACTACAAGACAATCAGAGAATTACTCAGCAGGTACAGACAGATGAGAACAGTGAGGCTCTATTTGACTGGCATTTGTTCTAGCTCATCAGATGCTCAATCTTACTGGTCAGTAACTATGACTTATCTTTGATTATACTACAAATTGATAAAATATTGTAATTACTATGTGAGAAAAAGTGATACCAAAAATAATGTTCAAAAGTTTTACACAAGATGGTGCAAACTGAAGCTTAGGGATTGTCTTGGGGTCCTTCTGAGTTTTTTTTTTTACCAAGGATGGTTAGCCTGTTTGGGTAAGGAAGTGGTTCTGGGCGAGGGGAATTGTATAATCAAGAGGCCAGTGGCTGGAATTACCCAGGTCTGGTCCTTCAGCTAGGTTGAGGATATGGTGTAGAGCTGTGGGGTTCAACATGGTAGCCACCAACCACATGTGGCCACTGACACTTGAAATGTGGTTAGATTGAACTGAGATGTATATAAGTGAAAAATACACTCTGGATCTCAAAGACTTAATACAGTGGGAAAAGGAACAAAAAGTATCTCCATAATAATTTTACTGATTTTATATTTAAATAATATTTTGGATATAGTGAACAAAATGCCATGAAACTCAATTTCATCCCTTTTTTTTTACTTTTCTAATGTGGCTACTGGAAAATTTTAAATTACATATGTGGCTTACATTTGTGGCTTACTTTCTATTTCTATTGGAAAGGGCTAGTCCAGAGAGCTTTACATAACAGACTGAAGAGTTTAAACCCTCTAGGCAATGAAACACCACTGACAGTTTTCAAACTGAAGTGTTTGGTAGATTTGGGAAAGAGCAGAAAACATAAAGCACTGTTTCAAGATCAGCGTGGGGGCAATCTGTAGGGGTGAAACACTAGAGGCAGTTGTCAATGTCAAAAGGCTGTAAATGTCAAAGGGTAAGCAGGCAGCTGAGCTGGAAAGTATACAAGGTCTCTGGAAGTGTCATGCTGGGCAGAGAAAGGAGAAAGCAAGCAAGATCAGGTTGAGACACAGGAAGAATCACAGGTGTAAGCACTGATCCCAATCTGGATAACCAAGGTGCAACTCTTGCATGATATAGCAAGCTCAGCATAGTTTAGGTTTAATCTAGGCTGGCTTAGCCGTAAGGGCTCACCGGTAATTCAGAAGAGAACAGCACTGAGTCCTTTTCAGCAATTTCAGATCTATCTCTCTGAGGCAAGACCTACAACAGTGAGATCAAATACCACAGAAGATCAGGAGAAGGTAAGCAAAGCTACCAGAAATTACTGGATAATAAAATGCTTTTTTTTAATCTTCATAAAAATCAAACAGGGGAAATAAAAACAGCTTAGATGTACTTCTGTAAAAATGTTCTTATTCCCAAAAACAAAGAATGGACTTAACATTAAATTCTTAAGTTAGGCATGGCCAAACTAATGAGTGGCATTCTCCTTTCCATTTTCCCATGTCCTTTCTGCGTTTCTTCCTTTAGATAATTTAGGAGGAAAAATGAAGCAATTACAGGCACTGAAACCACACTTGAGACTAAACCTATGCCCTTGAACTTCCTAGGTGTGTGGCTCTTGGAGGTCCTTTTTCTAATCCCCAGAAGAAGAATAATGCCAACCCTGTAGACATGAGGTAAGATGAGGGAAAAAGTTAAAGAGCTTGGGATGTAGAGAGATGAAATGAATTTTAGCTGAACAGTATCACTGCTACTTGAACAAATGGTATTGTTCTGAATTTAAAACATTTTTAGTGCCTCTACTTGATAGAGAAAAAAAATTTTTTCCCAATAGTGTCACTTTAAAGACAAGCAACTTGGGAATTCCTTACTTTTCTTTAAATCCTACCAGGAACAACACTGTTTGAATAATGTTTGGGTTAAGAACTTTAAAAATGTCAAGACTAAGAAAATATAGACATCATTTTTATCATCACTGTACCCCAAATAGGACAAGCCAGTCTGATCTGTGTTCTGGTTACCATCGAATGAGCCTAAGTGGAGGAACATGTACCTCTCCCACTACCTATCCACAGCAATACCTCACACCCTCGAGGTGCAACACTGCTACAAGCTCTGCTCTTCAACCATTTACACACTACCAAAAGTTCATCTACAGTTTGAAAACCAAGATCACCTATGCTTCTCCAAATCAATTACAAACGTATACTACAGAAATCTCCCAGAAAGGAGAAATAACGGCAATTATTAAACTTACAGAAAATGCTGAAATGTGTGATTTCTATACATCTTCTATATACTTAAGTGCTGAAGGGACACCAATGATGTTTTATTCATTGACTCGTATTTGTTTTATTCACGGTGAGTCAAAAATAACAAAATAGCTAAAAGATAACAAGAGAAAACAAGGGTCTAAATGTCCCAGACTGGTAACCTTTGCCCAAAGAATTAAGGATGGGCTGGTCCTTGTGGTTTGGACGAGATGTAGCTGTTTCCTGGGTGTCGTTAACCACCGTAGTGTATTTGCAGGATCCAGTTTTTGGCCACTATGGGCTTATAAACTCGCTAATTGAATCTAAAGGGCATCAGATCCGGGGAAGGTGGCAAACACTCCCCGGCAGTTTCAAGCGCTGTCATTCCTCCAACCCCTCGCTTCTTCTTCCAAAGTCAGAACTGCCTCTCCCTGGGGCCACACCCGCAGCGATCCGAGGAGGAGCGTGGAGACCCGGGCCAGTTCGGCTGGGGAATGAATGCATTCGCCCCATCACGCAGGTCTTGCACCGCAGGCAGAGGCGCAAGGCTTCCAGGCCTGAAGTTAGGTCCCAGGCGCCGCCAAGCAGAGGCGGACGCCACCCCGCGGGCCTCATCTCTGCGCCGCTACGCCTGGGCCCCCAGGCCCCCAGGGTCCCCCCCAACACCCGGAAGCCCGCCCGGCTCACACCTGCCGGCGCGTGACGCGAGAGTCGCGCGTGCCCGCTCGCCCGTCCCCGCCCGGCCACACGAGGCGCCCCGGCACGCGCTCCAGAAGTCTCTCCGCGTCCCTCTCGCCTCACACCGACCCGACGCCGACTCCGCGCGCTCACGCCTCCCCCCGCCCTATCTCCCGCCCCCAGCCCGGCCCGCTCCCGCCGCGCGCTCACTCTCAAGGACGCGCACAAGCCGCGCCTCAGAGAGCGGGGCCGCGCGCCCCCGCGAAGGTCCTCGCCCACCCCAGGCTGCCCGGCTAGGACAGGGCGGAGCGCGGGGGAGGGGAAAGACCACTTGGCCCCGGTCCTCACTCACCGCCGAGCCGCGCCGGCTCCGAATGCGCGGTGTTCTTCTGTGAGGCGAGGCGATGTGCGCGGTCCCCGCTTCTCTGCAGACTATGGAGGCGACGTCGCAGGGGGACTGAGGGGTGCGGGGGGTCACTCCCTCCCGCTTCACCTTCCAGAAGCACGGGGACCCCAGAAACTAAAAACAAAATAAACAAACTTTCCCCTCCGCCTCCCTCCCCCAAAACCACAACACAAACACTCGAAAGCCCGCCCAGAGCCCCACTCCATTGGCCATAGGGAGGATGCTTCCGGCTCTCACTGGCTGGCTTTTGTGTCCGTCAAGCTGCTGTTCCGCCCCTCCAATTCCGCGCCGCTGCCGTCGCCCCTCATTGGCTAAATGCTTCCCGTTTGACGAGCTAGGATTGGCTACACGGGCTGCGCCAATCATGCGGGGACACACCCCCTCAGCATCCCAGAGGCCGCTTCTTTGGTCGCAGACGGAGAGAGGCGCAAGGGAAACTAGAGCATGATGGCGGCTGAGCTCGCTTCGCACAACCATCGTGTTTTCTCTTTTCTTTTTTTTTTTTTTAAGCTCATTAGTTCCTCTCCCGGGTTCTGTTTCCCCTAAGTGCCTCTCTCCAACCAGCACTGCCTAATAACGGGAATCTATGTGTACCGGCTCCTTGATTTATCTCCTGCGAAGTGCTGAGTGTGGGCTGGTCGTGCGTCATTGGACTGTCAGGATGTCGCTCCCAAGTCAAATCCTCAAACCATTGGTGGAACGGCAAGACAGCCCGGCCAACAAGAAGGGCTAACGCTATTGGTTTGACTCCTACTGAGTTCTTTCCTGGTACCTTATTGGGCACATAGGTGCGCCCGTCAGATCCGGATTCTGTACCACAGTTAATTGTTTAGCAAGGAGTCGGGGAGGAGTCTGCTTATTTGGTCAGTACGTGACAATACTAATGACTAAGGTCGCATTTATTGTGCGTCTTTATGTACCAAGTACTGTACTGAGTTCTTCACAGAGATGATCTGGTTAAACCTGTTACTTTATACACTAATTTTTATAGGTGGGGAAACTAAGGCTCGAGAGGTTAGGAAGCCTTCCCAAGGTCATCCAGATAAAAGGTGGTTGGCGGGCCCTGGGTTGGGTCTTCTCTCTGGCTGCAGAACCTTCAGTATTCTAGTTATGCTTTAGTGCCTGTATCTCGTATCTGTCAGCCAACCCATCATTTTAAAAACCTTTCTTAAGGAATCCAGGTTCCTCGGTTTCTAGCAGTGATATTGTTGGAGACTACACATGGAGTGACTGTCATTGCCTCCACCACCTCCTCCCCGGTATCCTTTCCCACCCCCCACCCCCATCCTAAATTAAACAATCTTGACGTTTCCTGACAAGAAGCACATCTGTAACTACATTCGTTTTCTCAGCTTTGTAAATGGACGTTTACCATCTTTGTATGCCAAGCACCACCCTCCCGCCTCCAAACCCTGAACATCGATCTTGTTTGTTCCTTGGAGAGAGTCCTCAAGAGCAGGAAACAAGGAGAAATAAAGTCTAGAGAGAGATTTTTAAAAATCGCCTTAGAAATAAATAATTGATTAAATGCTATTGGAACAACCCTTCAGCTCCTGGAAAGCTTCCAGGATAGCTGATGCTGAGCAAGCCATGTCCTCCTGGCTCGTGGCCACTGAGTTCTTTGTGGCAGCTTTCATGGAAGTGAATACACATTTCAGCCAGGGAGGGCAGGATACTTAGGACCCACTGCCAAAATGCCAATCCCAGGCCTCTGGGACCAAAATGATCTCCAGGAGCACAGTGCTGGACTCTAGCCCACATTCCATCTTGGGTAATTAACATTTTACCATCCCAAATCCCTATCCCCTGTAGCTTTAGTGGGATCGTGGCCCTTGTTTCACTTCCTGATCCAAGCTGTTGTGTAATCTTGTTGGCACTGCTTTATTAATAACCACTGAAACACAATAATAAAGTTCAACACTTACAGCCTTTCAGCAAAGACAAGGTATTTCACAAACATCAATTAAGAGTAAATGGAGATATTCCTAGGGCAATTGCAAGAAGAACAGAACAAAGAGCATAAGTCAAATTCTAATAAAAGTCCTAAGCACCTGAATCATTACAACTCCACAAGCTTAGCCCATATTAGCATTCCAATATGGGGATTCTGAACTAGAAAACACTGTGAATGAGAAATGTTCAAGGTTCAGAACCTTCCTAACCGTCAAAGTTGCTTGCTTGTACTCCTGTTTTAACCTTTAAAATAGTACTTGGTATTATATTTAATTGTTGGATACATACCAGTTTTAAGATTGGAGGGAAGGACTCCTGATTGAACCCAGACCTTTGCACTGAGCTACATTCCCAGCCCTTTTTTTTAAATTTAACTTTGAGACAAGGTCTAAGTAGCTAAATTGTCCAGGCAGGATTTAAGCTTTTGATCCTCCTGCCACAGCCTAGAGAGATGGGATTACAGGTGTGCACCATCACACTTGCCTGGTAAGTTTTGGAGGGTTTCTATTTATTTGTTTTTAGTGCTGGGGACTGAACCCAGTGCCTCCTGCATCCTAAGTAAGCATCCTGCCACTGAACTACACCCCTGGACCTTTTGATTTTTTATTTTGAGAGAAGGTTTCACTAAGTTGCCAGGGCTGGCCTCAAACTTGAGATCCTCTTGCCTCAGTCCTGAGTAGCTGAAGTTGCAAGAATGTGCCACCGCACCTTGCTATCTCAGTTGTAAATTTCTTGAAATAGTTTTCATATTTGTGTCCTGTAGTTGCTCTAACTACTACTACTTACTACTACTACTACTACTATAAAAGGCCTTCAAATAAATAGCTATTCAGTAAATATTTAGTGATCATGTCAAGCACTGTCCTGAGGTTCAGGGGTCATGCAGATGAATAAAATATCTTCTGTGCCATCAGTCAAGTGGGGCTGACCAAATCACAGTGTAGTGCAGAGGTAAGGTGCCCCAGAAGCACATGGGGACTCAATTTGAGAAGGAAAGGGAGGCCTTCTCGGTTGAGGTGACATCTACAAGGAGACCTAAAGGACTAATGTGGCTAATCAGACAAGAGATAGGATAGGTGGAGACCTGCAGGGTTTGCTCTTTGGTGGGCAGGGAGCAGGATAGGAATATTCAGGAGCAGTCAAAGCCTGTTCTTGCTATAACTATTTGAAGGCCTTCAGCTATTTCTCTGTTCCACCTCATTGTCCTTTCTCTCCCTGGGAGAAAGCAGGAAGCTGGACACCCTGTCATGTTTGCCCACTGCTGCAGCTCCCACACGTTGTGGAGAATCTTCCCAAACTTTCATTGGTAGCTCACATATAGATTTCTTCTTCCAACAAACAATGGGATATGGCGCAGGGTCTGATCTGGCTCTGAGAGATCTCAGAGCTCCAAACTTCAGCTTTGGATGGAACATGGCCTCACTTTCTATACAGACAAGAAGGAAGCCAATAAATCAATCAAATATTTAACGTGGAAGATGAGAGTTTGAAATTCCTGTCACAGTAAATGTCAGGACTTTGAGACTCGTCCAGCCTGGTGTTAATGAATGGGGCGAGGTGTCTGCTGAACTCATCCTCACTGCCTTAAAGCTTTCGGTCATGCTGTGATGCCTGTGGTGTCGACCCATGCCCCGAAAGGCAGCCCAGGTCAGGGAATGACAAGCTAGGATACTCTCTTAGGCTTAGGCCATTTCACATTTCCTCTGTGCAGGCCACTTTGGGAAAGTACTATTCATTTGTTCCAACCCACCCAGATTTGAGAGTCAAAAAACTTCTTAGCCCTGCACAGTCTTATGCTGGCCACGTGCACTGTATCTTTAGAGAACCATACAATTCTTAGAGCTCTATATGTGGTGTTCAGCATAGCTGTTTGTTTGCTAGAGGGAAAGGCAGGTTTAATGAACAATAGCTGCTTTGGATAGCTACCAAAAGTGCTCCAAGCCATCCTAAGCAACAGCCTTCTCTTTTGTCCCTTGAGAGATTGTGCTGTGATCTCTGCCCTTGGCCCGGACAAAATCCAAGGCAATGGGAATTTTTGTGAACAATTCTGCAATGACCCACAAGCTTGGGGTGGCAGGGCCAGCTGGATCTGCCCCAGCTCTGATTTCTGTGGTGCAGGAGAAGCACCCCGCACACTTTGCACTGGGTTCTCACTGCTGAGACATTTGGCCGTGTTTGTAAAACATTCTCCAATTCTTACTGCTTTTAGCAATGAGACAACCCCTGTAAACGAACCTAATCCAAAAGACAGGAGACAGCTGACAGCTGATAACTCTGCCATGGGTGTGGCTGTAGCCAAAGACCAGGAGCAACTGGGGAAGGGAACATGCTAGAGGGCGCTGATTACAGAGGACAAGCTCATAAGCATTTATTACATGTCTGGTAACATTTACTGTGTGACAAATTCCTCAAGGCAGGTGCTGTACCACTTCCAAATCACCTCTCATCTTTTATGACCTCATTTCCTGAAAAGCCTCTTAGTTAAGCAGAAACATGGGACCCCCTTCAGTGAGCTGACCAATGCCAGCACACAGGAGGAGGGGGGGGTGTCACAAGAGAGCCAGGAGTTATGGTTGTTAATACTTATCTTATTCTGGACATGTGCTATGTGTCAGACACTACTGAGTTAATCTTGACAACAACTATGTCTGTCCCCATTTTCTGGATAGGAAAATGGAGGCACCAAAGTACTAACTTGCTTTGGGTCACCACAGGTAGTAATTGAACGCAATGTGATTCAAGGAATGGGTGCTTACCCATGTAGCTGCAATGCCCTGAGATGTCTGCTTTGAGAACTCCTTGGTATGTCCGGGGAGATAACCAGTCCCATTGCCTTGACTGTCACAACTCCTCCCTCTTTTTCCTTGTAGACCAGGGAAAGAGGTACACCTCTTTCTGGCTAAAGTACTGCCTCTGTTGGTCCTTCCTTTCCATCCTAACTGGGATCTGCTCATCCTTCCGCCCCCTTCATAGAGCCCCCTTCCTTCCTTTCCTTTTTTTTCTGTTTTCCTATCCTGGCTTTTGTGCGTGCGTACGCATGGTACTGGGATTTGAACCCAGGAAATGCTGAGCCACATCTCCAGCCCTATCTTTTAAGCGACAGGGTCTGCCTAAATTGCTCATGCTGGCCTTGAACTTGTGATTCTCTAGCCTCAGCCTCCTGGGTTTGCTGGGATTAGGGATTATAGGCATGCACCATGACACATGGCCCAGCTTCTTAAATAATGACCTGTGGCCCTCCCCACCACCATTGGTGCTTACTCCTCTAAACCTGGCTTCCAGCCCTAACACTACTGAAACTCATTTCTCTGAGCACATCTATAATCTTTCTTTGTGGCCAAGATCCAAGAGACTTTCCCAGTCCTTGTTTCCATGGCTTCGCCACTATGTTTTACTCTGAGAATCTTTTCTTTGCCTCCTAAAATAGCCAGCTTTCCTCCTACCTCTACAACTGTTCATGCTCTTTTTCCTAAAGTCTCCTTCTCTATGCTCCTTCAAAGGACCTCCCTGCCCTCCCCTCCTTCTGAGGCCTTTTGAGGGCAAAGCAGCTGGTGGTGGTGGGGGTCACTATCCTACCCTCACCTCTACATTTACAATTTTCATCTATCTCCAGCCCTCACTCTGTGGGACTTCTTATAAATCATATAAACTATCCAGCTTCAGTTTCCTCACTTCCAAAATGAATCAGATTTGTTATTCTTGACGCTAAGGAAATGAAAAAATGTAACATTTTAGAGCACATACTCTGCCAGGGTGGGAATTTGTGGGGCGCAGTGCAAAATGAAACTTGTTCCAAAATTATTAAAATGTTAACAGCAGAGCATTAATCCAAATAAGGGCCGATCACCTCCTGGGCATGGGACCCTGAGGGACTTCAGAGGATGCAAGACCATGAAGCCAGCCCCAGTGCCAGCACCATTTTAAGCTTTTACATATGTTAATTTATTCAACCCTCATAACAACCTTATAAAGTAGATACAGATGAGGAAAGTAAGGCAGAAGGAGATTAAGTAACTCCCCAAGGTCACATGGTTTTTAATTGGTGGAGTTGAAAAAAAACATAACACCTGCCTGTGGGGATTGTGAGACTCACAAGGACAAGGGGCCCCGTGAGAGATGTTCCCTCCTGGGACCGCTCAACCAGGCTGTGCCCCCTTCCTCCTTGCTGACTTTGTCTATGCCATTTCCACTGCCTGGTATGGCTCTTCCTCCCTTTCCTGTGCTCCCTCAAATGTACACTTTCATCAGAGCTCTGTTCAGGCCCCCCTGCCCTTTCTAAGGAGCGCCGAGAGCAGAGGGTTCCAGTCCACACCTTCTTCTCCCCTCCAGTCTCTGGCCATCACGGCCGCCCCACTCCAGGGGGTTATTTACAGCCTGAGGAGCAATCAAGTGTCCTTGCCAGCTTTTTAGAGGCTCAGTGATAACCAATCCTATAAATTGAAATGGGAAGCTTCTTTAAATCTTCCTCCACAAACCTAAAGCAGCTTGCAGTCAAGTCTGGGGGAGTCCTGGGGACAGATAATACATCTGAGTCTTCACTATGTTCTTGATGGCCTGATCCTTGTAATTCTAAAAGAACTCTTCTTTTAGCATCTTTCCTTGGCCTTGCCTCACCTTCCCCTCCCTGTTACACTCCTGGGGTAGCTCAGAGATGCTGTCCTCCTCCAGGGAGCCTTCCCTCACTGCCACCCACAGGCTAAGAACATCCTCTGGGCTCCCACATCTCCTGGGGCTCCCCATCATAACACTTGCCTCCTGCATCCTTCTTCCCAACCAGGTAATGAGCATCTTGGGGGATGATGCTGTCTCATCACAGTGCCCGAGAAAAAACAAGTTCTCAATGAGTGAGTTTGTTAGAACAAATGAATGAATGAATAAATGAAAATTAAGCTAATGTTAGTTAAGACTCTATGCTCTTGAAGCTAGGTGGAGTGACAAACACCTGTAATCCTAGCATTCAGGGAGGCTGAGGCAGGAAGGTCAAAAGTTTGAGTCTCACCTGGGCAACCTAGCAAGACCCTGTCTCAAACTAAATATAAATGATGGACTGGAGATGTAGCTTAGTGGTACAGTGGCCCCTGGGTTCAATTTCCCAGGACTGGGGTTGGGTGGAAGTGGGGCTTTTATATGCTCCTTAGCACAGATCACCAAATGAGTCTGTGTGTCAACATGCAATGTGTGAAAACCAGCAATGACAGGTCCCCAATCTCTGTTGGGGGAGGGACACCAGGGGCTTCTTCTTGACAGAACCATGACAGAGATGCCAGGTGTGACACTGGTGGTGAGTGTTGGGAGCCAAGGCATAGAGGACAGGCATTCCAGGCCAGAGGTCAGCAAGCAAGAGTGCATGGTCCCAATCTAGCCTGCCACCTGTTTTTTGGCACAGCCAGTGAGCTAAGAATGGCATTTATTGATTTATTCTTGGTTCTGAAAGTCAAACCCAGGGGCTTGTACAGGCTAAGTATGTGCTCTACCACTAAGCTATCCTCCATCTCCTTTTCTACATTTTAAAAAGATTGAAAAATATTAAAAGAATAATACCTTGTGATATGTGAAAATTATATGAGGTTCAAATTTCAGGGTTCACAAAGTTTCCTGGACAGCTGCACTATGACTCATGTATGGACCTTCCTTCTGTGGGTGCTCCAGGGCTCCTGCAGCGGTTGGGACAGAAGTTGCTTGTCTGTGGTGGCCCTTACAGAAGGAGATTGCCTGCACCTCACCCATCTCACCCAGAGAGCAAGGATACTGCTGCCAGCTGGCCACAAGGTGTCAGCCTTTCCCCATGGTACTACTGGCTCCGTGGGCTCCTCTAAGGAGCCTCAGCACCTGGTGCTCTTCAGAGGCCCTCCTGCTTGGGGACAGCCAGGCGGAGTCACTAGAGGAAGAGGCTAAAGGAAAGCCCAGGAGGGGTTGGAGTCTTAAAGGAGGGCTGCAGGTCTGATTTAGAAAGCCCAGGGGCAGGGTGGGGGATTTAGCTCAGTGGTGCTCCCCCTGCTCCACCAGTGCAAGGACCCCCATTACCAAAAAACAAACAAACAAACAAAGCACAAGCAAACAAAAAAAGAAAGCCCAGGGGCAGAGTGAGGTTGGCAAGCTTCTCTGGAAATGCCATTTCTTTGGCTTGCATTTTTTTTGTGGTGCTGGATATTGAACTCAGGACCATGAGCATGGTAGGCAAGATTCTAGCACTGAGCTACACCCCTAGCCCTGGTTGAGTCCTTTTTTGTGTGTTCAATTTCTATTCACAGGATTCTCCAAACAAACTGAAATTGTGTATTCCGCCCAAAACTTATCAGTCAAGTTGTAGAACTTTTGCACATCTAGCTAATGCTACAGCTCTCTTTCTGGGGTGAGAGAGCATGAGTTCCTGTCAAACAGCGGGGCTCACCAATGGCCACTCTGGCTGGTTTTCTCCACCTTTCTTTTAAAACCTGGGCATTGAAACTTTCTCCAGGTAAGCAGCAATTAGCTTGTATGCCAACCAGTCACCATGAGAATGGCAAATATGCAGGAAGGAGCAAGGGAGAGAAACCAGGAGACAGTGTCCCAAGACCTGACTCTAACAATGCTCCAGAGCCTCCGGCCATGCTCCTCCTTGCTGTGTGTCAATCCTTGTGCTGGGTGCTTTATGTAGTTATTCCCTCAGCCCCGGTTACTCTTTGATACAAGTGTAAACCAAGTTTGGCAACATGAAGTAGCTTGGTGGGTCATTAGAGGTTCAGGGGCAGAGTCAAGATTCCACCTGTGCCTGCCGGTCTAAAGCCTGTCCTCTCTCCATCACATGTCCTGCTAAGGTCACAGCAAGTGGCGTGTAGCCACCCTGCCTTAAAACCAGTGCCTTCCACACTTTCCATGTACCCAGAGGGCTGAACAAATGAATGCGGTTCCCAACACTGCTTCGAACTGCCTTTCCCTGTCCAGTCCTCCAAGCTCCAAGACATTTCAGGAAGAGACTCAAACCAGCGAGTCAAAGCTGCCAGCAGGAAATGAGAATCAGAGGCATGGTCCTTGGAACAAATGAGTGAAATCTTTCCGCTTAGGGCTGTGGGCAGGCACACTGCCTGTTCTCGCCTTTTGCTTCTCTCCTCCTCCAGGCTCCCGAGCAGTTGCTGGCTTCCATGGCAGGTCCTAGCTGGTCTCCTTCTGTGACGTGGATATCTGTTCCTGAAACTGCTTGTTAGTGGCTGCAGACACTGCCCTAACTTCTAACATTTTCCTGGATGAGCACTTATTTCCAGCTGGCTCACTTGGAGAAGCCATGGAGCACAGTGAAAATGAACTAGGGTGTTCGCTGGATAATTGGATTTTCAGCCTTTCCCATACTTGCTGCATGGGTTTGAACAAATCTTCTTACCTCAAGGCCCCTTTCTTCCTCCTGTTTCCTCCTTCTGTGGCCTTTTGAAGGGATGCAGAGAAAGGGCCATCCCTGAGCACACAGCAGCCTGTGGCCTAGGTTCTACCACTCTGGACCCCAGGAGGTGAAGCCTGTTCATTTGGGATGCATAATAAAAGGAGAAACCACCCCAGAGGACAGGATTAGCTCAGGAGGTACTTTCAATAAGCCTAGTCCTTAAGAAATTAAATAGCAGACAACAGGATCCCATTTGACTTCCATGTAAGTCTTAGAAGTCAGGAACAAAGCTGAAAGAATCATGAACAATTCTGGAACCTGACACCTCCCAGTTTATTAGCCTGCTTTATTCTCTGTATTGAGTGGCTGTCAAGTCTTCAATCATTTAACAAATAGGTATTAAGAAAAAAAAAGCAAAAAAACTCAAATAGGTATTAAGCAAATACTGTGGCAACAACAATGAGCCAGACAGATAAGTTTTCTGTCCTCACAGAGCCTGGTCTCCAGGCTCCCCAGCCCAAAGGAAGAATGGGACCTGTCTCTCCAGGCCTTCTTTGTTCCGTAGTGGGAGAGTAGAAGCCTTGAAGGGGAGGGGTGAAAAGTTCAGGCCTAACTGTGCAAGGTCTTTGGGCTGATCTTGTAATTGCTTAGCCTGAGAATATTCTCATATCTGTACCTGCCTCCCTGCCACCTGCCTTTCAGACTCAAGCCTGGGGTGATCGTCCTGCAGCAGCTCTCTTCCTACTGCTGGAACAGAAATGGGGATGATCAGTGACAGCTGCTGGATCCTTTGGGTGGGAGGGCCTGAGTGCGGCCCGATAGCAGCTTATAAATGCTTTCCATAATCCACACATGGCAGGGCTAATATCTGCTGAGGGGACTTTGTTGATGTTTACTCAGAATGTGTTCATGATAGCCAGGTGGCAATTCCCACTGGCCTGACTGGAGTTTAGAAGTCACTTGCTGTCATCCCTGGCTGTTTTGGGAGGGGGCTGTTGTCGGAAACACATGGGTCTATCCCATGGTGCTTTCCATGTGGGACATAGCTGAGACTAAAGGAAGAACAGATTGGGAGAAAACCTGACAGGGAGCTGAGTGGAATCAGGCAGATGTGTGCACATAAACACACCTGTTCTGGGGAGAACAAGGTAGTGAAGAGCTAAGAAAGGTAAGTAGGACAAAGATGATGCTGTTATTCACCACTCTGCCAGAAACCAAAAATCTCAGGCAGCTTGGCCAAGCCTCTCTGGGCCAAAGCCTGTCAGACACACAGGGCAGAGAGTAGGTGGAAGCGCTTCCAAGAGCCACCTGTGTGGCTGTCGGGGCTGCAAAATAGAGTGGGGACCTTAAATGGAGGGTGTTTTTATGTCCAAACCTGGGGGACATCTGATAATGCTTGGAGATATTTTGGTTGTCTCATCTGCCGAGCAATATCCTGTAGGGTATAGCATTGTCCGGTTCCCAACAGAGGATTTTGCAGCTCCAAGGTATGCTGCAAGCCTGAGCTCAGATGGGGAATTTAGGGAGAGCCTTCCTTATCTGCAAAATGGAGATCTCATATCGCATGTGGCTCAAACCCTTAATACGTGGGAAGGCTGTTGACTTTACAGGGGGGCCTCTCCTGAGCTGTTCATGGTTTGTTTTGGGTTTTTTCTGGTACTGGGGACCTCAGGACCTTTTGCTTACATGGCAAGTGCAATGCAGCTGAGCTAAACCACCCCCACCCCAGCTGTTCATAGTTTGAAATCTGCATGACTAAAGCATCTAGCACAGACACTGGCCATATAGGAGGTGCTCAATAAATGAGAAAAAAAACTTAAAAAAAAAAGAGATTCTGGCTAATAGTGTGGAAAATTAAAAAAAAAGAGAGAGAGAGAGAGAGAAAACTTGCACAGCAAGGGGAATAAAAAGAGCCCATTCTCCTTCTCTGGCCAGCTCCCCTTCACATCTCCAGGCTTCCTTTGTTGTCTTAATCTATAAAGTTCTGTATAGGCATAGCATATTGAGCTTTGCAGACACTGTCTTGGAAGTGTCTTTGAGGAATCAGGGGAATAGGGCTGACCATAATCATACCCTGAGAACAGACAGCTGTTACAAGGCAGTTTGGCCAAACCTCAAGGAATAGCCCCCAGTACCATTTGGAATCCTGTGCTTCCTGCCCTGATGGGGCAGAGGCCTCAGCTCATTGGGAGAATGGCTTCCCCAGGGCTCACAGAAGCTGGACTGAGGAGGGAGATGGTGGCCTGGTGGACAGGGGTGGAAGCACAAAGCCAGAGCTGGCTCTAAGTGTCCTTTCATCCTGCCTCTGTAGAGACCTTCCAATGCCACTAGCATGCAGGTGGTGCAACTAAGGGCACCCTTCAGCCCTGAATTTGCCTTCCAACTGGGAAGGCCAGGTGTACCCTCGAGATGTGACAAGTGAGAGAATATCTTCCAAAGTATGAGCAAGTGCTGGGACAGAGAACAGATGCACTCAAGACTGAAAAGCCAAGAGGTGGAACAGAGTGGGCCGGAGCTCAGGCTGACAAGCAAACATTCAGAGCTGCATCTCAAGACTTGGAGATCCTTGGCAATCTTTACACTGTAGTCTCTTTCACCAGGATTTCAGAGCTGGAAGGGGCAGAGACCATCTTACCCACCCTCTGTAAGGATGAGGAAGCAGGCTGAAGGGGAAAGGTGCCCCACCTGCAGGCCAGCACTCTGCCCAACACTGAGTTGGTTCCTCTTCAACATCGTTTCCTCTTCATTGCTACAGAAAGTGAGAATAACCTCATCTTGGCATATAGAGAAACTGAGGCAGAAAGGAGGGCCTGACCAAGGCTGCAGTGACTTAGAACTTCCACTGGGATCCTACTAGATTTGGGGGCTGGATCTGCTTCTGAGGAGAAAGGGATAAAGCAGGCCAGCTTCCATCATCGAGGAATACAAGAAGGCCTCGGCAGAATGGCCCTTTCCTAGGCCAAGGTGCCAACCTTCACTGCAAGGGTGATTTCTTTCCTCCAGTACAATTCAGGTACCTTGTGTCCTGTATCTTCAAGGTGACCGCTTGGAGCTGTGGAGTAATAGCCACTTCCCATGACCCCCCTCCTTCCTTTCCCCTCCCGAACAAGGATGTGCCAAGCAAACAGGCCTTGGTACGAAAGGCAGCACTTCCCAGAAGTGTTTAATCCTCATGAAGCCTCAAGAAGGTGGGTTGGGTTCCCTTCCTCACACACCTAGAAACCAGCCTCAGGAACAACAGAGAAGACCTGGGGTCAGATCACCTTCCTTTTCCCTGTCCCTCTCTGCCACTGGGGAGACCAGACTCCACGTAGGCCTTGTGTCTTGTCCCCACTTCCTGCAGCCCCATGTGCCCCCCTCTGCCTCTCATCAGCTGCCTTGCAGACATCTGTGTCCCTCCCTCAGAGCTGGTGGTGTCCCAGCACTTTTCATAAGGAAAGAAAAGGGACAGGAGTTTTAGCTCAGAGGGCAGAGGCTGAGAAAGGCTGCCTTGTGGCCCTTCCCCAGGACACTTCAGCCCTTTGCCCCTCTAGCACACTGCCTGTCTAGGGAGGGCCGGCTCAGAGCCTGTAGTTGGACAGTTTCTCCATTGTCCACTCACCTCACTCAGCCCTTACCGGTTACCTGTGTGTGATCATTTACTGCTTGACCTGGCCCAGCACCATGTTACAGCCTTTTTTTTTTTTTTTTCAGTACCAGGGATGGAACTCAGGACCTTGTGCTTGCCAGGCAGGCTCAGTGCCACTGAGCTAAATCCCTGGCCCTCAGCCTGACTTTTTGCAGGAGGCTAAGGCTGGTCTTTGTCTGACGTGTAACTGGGGGAGTTCTGGAGGGTGAAGGGGACCAAGGACCAACTGGGGAGAAAGGGGCAGATACTCCTGTCCTTGGCACCCAGCGGTCCCCCACTCCTGCCTCCCCTCTCTCATTAGGGTGCAAACCCAAGCCCTTACTGAGGGGATGGGCAGCCCTGGTCAGGAAACCCTGAGAACCTCATAGAGGCTCGCAGCAGGCACCAGCCCAGGAAGCCTGGAGCACTCAGGCAGAGCCTACAGGTAGTGCAGAGTGAGGGAAAGGGGTCCCCAAACTGGCAGTGTCAAACCCTCCCCCCACTCCACTCAGTCTGGTGCAGGAGCCTGTGGGGACTGGTCTAGGAAGGTCATAGCAGCCAGTGCCCTGGCTGTCCCAGAACAGCTTCTACTTTGCGTCCTGTGGCTGGAGCAAAACTAGACTCGAGATCCCTGGCTTCATAGCCCCATCCTCTTCCCTTCTTCCCAACCTCGCTGGGGGACAAGAAAGCACCGGAAAGCCCAGGGAAGGGGAAGCCAGGTGGCTAGGGCTGCCTTGCAGACCTCATCTCACTAAAGCATAAGACATAGTAGCCCTTGTCCCACCTGGGGACCTGCAGCTCTGAGGCTGGCCCAGCAAAAGGGAGTTAGCATAAAGGAGAGCAGACACTAGTCAAGCTTCCACATCATGTAAAAAAGGTGGCAGTGACATCTGCCTGGTCTTTGGCAGTCTGATGGAGGCACATGATGGTCTTGAGATGCCCTGGACCCTCTCACGTGGGATTCAGGCCCCGAGGCTAAGAGGCTGGTCAGTGTCCAATGTGCAAACTGGTGCGGAGTGAGCCCTGTGCCCTTCACAGCACAGGAGAACACAGGTGGGTATCCACAGGTTCCACCCACCACTGTCCTGTGGCTCAGGAAATCACGCAATTGCTGGCCTTGGCAGGACTGGGACTTGTTTTACCTGCAAAGACAAGGAACACAGGCAGGGAAGGGTATAAGTGAGATACTCAATGGATTTGCCTCCAGCCCCTCTTCTGGGCTCTGTCCAAACCTCAACTTTGGGGGCAGGGGTTACTGGCTCCCTTCCAAGCTGCTGATCTGGAAACCAGCTCAGCAGGACACCTAGGAAAACAAAAGGACAGATTCTTCCTGCCTTGACAGACTCAGCAGGATCATCATGGGTTAGGGACTTCAAGTGGCCCCTTGTCTCCTGACCAAAGAGGGGTGGGGAAAGGACTCTGGAGACAACAACTATGACCAATGACTTAGAAGTCATGCCAAGTTAATACCAGTAGCTAAGATCCTAAGCAGCTTCAAGCTCTCCAGTGATCCATCCTCATTGGTCACAGTGTGAGCCAGATCTTTCACTCTGTTCTACAGCAGAGGCCCTCCCACAGGCCCTGCTCCCAGAGCAGCAATGCCAGGTCCTGGCTTCCAGTTCAGTCTCAGCTCCTTCTGCTGCACAGGTGCTCAGTTGGAAGGGGAAAAGCTGCACCTCAGGAAGGGTCAGCAACACCGCTGGGTGGGTGGCTCACACAGCTGAGGGGCAACACTAGACAGAGGGTGGGGAGGGAACAAAGCAGGCTGCCACACCAACCACAGCAGCTCGTTTTTCTGTTTCCCTGGGCCTCAGAATCCATTTCCACTTCCTTGCTGATCCTGTGATGTGGCCTGCAGTTTCTGTGGCTGATTCCTGCTCTCTGACCTATGGGAGAATGGAGAGGAAGCTGTGAGGCGGACCTGACACCTTGGGCCCTTGAGGCATCAGGCTGTTGGAGGCAGAGTCCGGGCCCTCAGAGCATAAGCCACCTCTCCAGGTGGAGGCCACTGGTGTTATTTCCTGCAGGCTCCTCCCTACACTGTAAGGGCTGTCTCCCTGGCACTCACACCATCTTCCAATGTCACTTCAGCTGTGGATTTAATTAAGTCAGCGTCTGCCTTCTCTTCGGGGCTGTTAGCAAGATAGACAGAGAACAGAGTTGGACTTGGAGCCTTGGTTCCACACCTTTCTCTCCCTCCACTCCATGCTCCCTACAAGGCCGTGGCTCAGATCCACAGCCTGTGCTGTGTTCGCCATCGCTGTGTTTGGGCCAGACTGAACTCACTCTTAGGGACCTACTGCAAACCCAGCTGAGCCCCCTGCTTGGTGTCCCTCATACTCAGGCAGGCGGCTGCTGAGGGAGAGAAGGGAGGGGGGTGGTCACCTGCTCCAGTGCTGAGGGCTGTGTCTAATGTGGCTGTGCTGAAGTCACTGCACTCTGCTGTCCTAGAGCCCCTCATTGCTGTAATGGACACATCATCCCCACTTTGTGCTCCTCAGTGGCTTGTTCTATTTGCTTGGCCTACTGAGCAGATGCTGAGTTCCTCCCCAGAGGCAGCAGTGTTTTGGAGGCAGGTAAGCAAAATCAATCTCTGGATCCAGAAGCAGGGACAGGGGTGCAGCCCTGGGGGTCAGGGAACAGGGATGCTGGGTGGGTAGAGGTTGTAGCCCCAGCCTGCATACACCCAGCTCCTTCCTGGAGACAGCTGCCTCCAGCAGGACCTGCTTCCCTCGATTCATCAGGCTGGATGCAAGCCTGGAGAGATCCCTTATCCTCAGAATTCATTTCCATGCTTCTGATGGAGAAACCGGTTAGAGGAAAAATTCTTCATGTTCCATTGTTCCATCAGTGCTCATTTACTGGGAGTCTGCTGTGGGCAGGCAAATCAGAACAGTTCAGATTAATGGGGAAGGATTACATGAACATCGCCTCTTCTCTCCTTTAAAATTAAAAAAAAATATTTTACAAACTATGTGTGGCAAGGGTGAGGATGGCCTGAAAAAGGTTTATGCAAGAATGTCAAGCTCCACTGGGGAGTTGACACTGGAATGAGACTGCACATACACTTGCAGAGTGGGGGCACAGAGTCACTAAGCGTGATGGAAAGGTTGGGCTGTGACAGTCCAGGGCATTTGTAACCAGAGCTGGCAAGCAAGGTGATGTGGGAAACAGGGAGAAAAGACACATCAAAGTGGATGTTTACAACAAAGACAATGGTCCCCTTTTTCTATAGCTTTCAGGGCTTCACATTCTCTTTGTTTGAAAGATCCTTTCCCTGACATCCACACAGCTCTGTCCCTCCAGGAGTCTCTGTTGCATTGCTGCTTGGCCAGAGAGGCCTTCCTTGTCCTCCTGTTATAAAAGGGTCCTTCCCCTCCTATGCTCCCAACTCTCCCCCGCAATAACATGCTCTGGAAGAGAGGGACTTTACTCATTCTGCTCCCTGCTACACAGGAACTTAGAACAGTGCCTGGCACACAGCACAGATTTCACAGACATACATTTATTGGGTAAAATCATTAGGTAACAACAAGCTACTTGGGGTTTATACCAGTACTAACAACAGCAGGAATAGCAGCAGCATGGGTGACCTGTGTGTCCTCACTCACCTGGCACCACCCTGAGATAGTGACGTAAGCCCTGGCCAGGCTAAGAGAAACTAGAAAGACAGAGGGTCTCTGATATTAGCCAGCAAGAATAAGCAGCCCTGCTCCTCCTCTGGAGCTAGGTGGAGTTGGGCCCTTGAGGAGGCTGTGGGATCAGAACCCCCAATGGTAATGGTGTTCAGAATCATCAGATCAGACTGCAGATCCTGTGCACCAGCTGGGGCAGGACCTGGCTGCTTAGGGGCCACACTGAATTCTGAAACTCTGCCTTGACAAGCAATGCTTGACAGGATGTGCCCTGGGACAGGGGCCCAGAAGTCTGGATGAAGCCCTGAGTCCAGAAGGTACGCCCTGAGCAGTCCCACAGTCCATCTCTGACAGGACCCAGATTTCTGGGAGAGAGATCTGAGACCATCCGCACCCTCTGCTCCCTGGATGACACAGGAGAGTGTGAAGTTCCCAGATCTGGGAGCCAGAAGCCATAGCTCTGTGAAGCCAGACCTCACTGCTGGCAGTGGCCCATGCATAAAACAGGGGGACCCAGGAGCCTTTGGAAAAGGCACGGCTAATTCAGGTCACCCTGGAGAGCACTTGGAAGACAAGTCCTCACCCTCCTCTCTCCTCAGCTGGCAGAATACCATCAGGAAGGGTCCAGCTGACATTCAGGGATCTGCCCCTTCCAGGCTTTAGAGATGTAGGGCAACAGTGCCAGCCCTCACCTTGGGGAACAGCCACCGTTGCTTTGCTGGAGCCCTGGACAGAGGCTCACCTCTCTGAAGCTTGGGGGTCAGGCAGGATGCTTTCAGGCTAAAGCATTTCACATCACATCCCTCTTAACTTTCTTAAAAATGTTGGCCATTTTCCAGAGACCCCCAGAGGTGTGGAGGTGGGGTTTCAAGCATAGCACCTCCAGCCTCCTCCCCTAGACTGGTGGCTTCCTGAGGGCAGACCTTGTCCGAATCTCCTCTGTGTGGCAGAACTATCTGCCTTCTAAGGACACTCTATATTGGAGAACTGCATGGGAAAATCTTGTCAGATTCTTCAGCCCAGTCCACGAGATACTCTTTTTTGTGGTGGTGGGGATCAAACCCAGGAGCACTCTATCACTGATCTTCATTCCTGGTCCTTTATATTTTTATTTTGAGGCAGGGTCTCACTAAGTTGTCCAGGCAGGACTCAAACTCGAGATCTCCTGCCTCAACCTCCCTCAATGCTAGAATTACAGGCTTGCACAATATGCCTGTCTTACTCATGGTATTTTTATACAAAGGCTGCCCCCTGATTGCTCCTCTGAAGCTGGAGACCTATCCCCCAGAGAGCCTGTCCTGAGCTCCCAGGTGGGAGCAGGTGGCAGGCTGGAGGGAAGGTGAAAGTTGGCCCAGCACAGGAGCATCTAGCAGAGTGAAAAGGCAAAAGGAAAAGATGCCCGGCTTTCACCACTAGAGGGGGCTGTGAGCCTTCAAACCACCAGGCTGCCCCACCCCCAAATCCCCAGCCCCAAAGGCGGCAATTTCTGTGAGGTTCTCCCAAGCGCCACACCTGGATTTGCAAAAATTTGCATACTGTTTGACAACTATATACTTCTTATCAAGCAGTTTTACAGGCTGTCAGCTCTCGGCTTTTTATTTCTGTCTTTCATCAACCCTGTCATCAACCCACATCCTCTCTTGATGAGAGGGCGCCGAGACAAGACAAAGTGAGAATCAACTCAAAGGGACATTGGAAACCCTCCGCAGCTCACCCTGTCACCTTCTAGAAGAGGAGACAGCCCCAGGGAGGGGAGGGACATGTCTAGGGTGCAGGGGCAGTGTCATGAGTGGGAGAAGGTGGGCAGGCCGTGTCTGTCTCGATGGCATTCTGAATGCTCCCCGTGGGAAAGGGGTCCCCACCCTTGGATGGGGTGATAGCAGTGGCTGTGCCTACCCAAGTCATCCAAGTAGCGGAACTCGAGGCTGAGTGATATACTAGAGGTGCCTAGAAAGGACAAGACAAAGGGCCTTGAGTTTCTATGGAAACAGTACCTCAGGGTGAGGGGCTGAGAGAAGAGGAAGCTTCCACCTCACTTCCAGGCAGGACTTGGGATCAGCCCCTTTGTGGCTGGGCTCATCCCCTCCTCTTTCCTGCCAGGTGTTCACCATGGCAACCTTCCTTCCAACAGGAGGTGCGGAGCAGCATCTGGTGTCAGGGGAGTCAAAGAGCCCAGCAGGGAATGGGAACAGGGATGAGCTACCTTCCTGTGACAGAACAGGGCCTTGACCCAGGCCTGGGTTTGAATCCTGGCCTATGACCACTTCTTGTGCCTTGGGGCCACCTAATCCTCCTCTGAAGGGCTTGAAGGGTTGTCATGAAGATAAAAGGAGAGAGTGCCTGCACAGGGCCTGGCCTGCAATGCTGCTCAAGGAGGGTGTGGGAAGGTCCTCACTGTGCCCACACTGCAGAGACCCCAGCCTGGTTTATTCTGACTTAACAAGCACACATATCTACAGGCACAGCCTGGTAGCTGGTCCTGGGAACAAGCACAGGGGAAGTGGTTGTGTCCCTGCTCTCCGGCCACTTAGAGTCAGGTCAAATGAGGGTTGTGAAGACACCTGAGACCTGAAGCCCTTAGGCTGCCCAGGACAATTCCTCAGACCCTGGCTTCGATGGACTTGGCTAGACAGGGAGCTCAGTTCTCACTGCCACAAAGTCCTACAGTCATGGACAGTGTCAACCCTGAAAGTTTTTTGAATAAGGGACACTGGGCCAGGAAAGACAGTCTGGTTGTCACCACCAGCTTCCTGAAAGGCCATACCAGTCTTCTGGAGAAAGAGATCAAGGCCAGGGCCTTAAGGGATCCCAGAGAGATGGCCAGAAAGACACGGACACCATTAAGCTCTTGTAAATGGCCAGCCTACTTGGCAAACAAACCCAACAGACCAAGTCAAACTATTGATAGCAGAAACAGGAAGCTGGGTCAGGGCCACAGTGGGGCACAGGTGAGGGTTGGGTGTGCCTGACCAGGTTAGATCCTGTTGACAGCGATCCAGCAAGGAACAAGATTGGCCAGAAAGAGCCCTGGACTCAGCCAGGTCTCGGGGGCCTTAGCCCTGCCCCTGGCTGGGCAAGGGCCCTTTTCCTTCATTAACAGAGGAGAAACTTGCTCTACTTCCTTCATTTGCATGAAGGAGTCTGAGGCCAATTTGAAAGTTGTCTCCAGGTGACTACATGCCCACCACTGCACTGAGGCACACAGGGCTCTCCCCTCCCAGGGAACTCAGAAGCACAATGACTTGTATAGGGCCACAAGGAAGACACAAGCCACAGCCGGGGTAGGAACTGAGGACCTTCTGACTCAGGAGCTCCTGGTTGCTCATGCCAGCAAGCTGCCCCTGTGGACATGAGCCAGTGCTCCTCCACAAGTGCCAAGCAAGGGTCAGGGGTGGCATTGGGCCCCAGGGAAGAGGGCTCACCTGAGATGTTGGCACTGGAACCCTCATTGGTCTTCTTCCCCATCAGAAAGTCCCTGTCGGTCACTGTCTCTGTGGAGAGGGAGCTGTCCATGCTGTTGGACGCTGCAGGCCTCTTGGCCCGTCGACTGAAGAACCTGCTGCTGAAGCGCTTGCCCTCCTTGGTTGACATGGCCTCCCCGTTGGCAGCTTCCCCCTTGCCATTTTGGGCAGGTGCCTCTCGGGCCTTGGGCCGCAGGTCTATATGCATGTGAGAGACCTTCCTGCCTTCCGTCCGGCTCAGCGCTCTCAAGGGAATGGGCTCCACGGGGGGCAGCAGCTGCTCCACTGTGACCAGATCATTCAGGAAGCTGTCCAGGCGCCGGGCCGACTCACCACCTCCACCACCCTCCTCCTGCCCCTCTGGGCTGCCACCAGGGTCCCGCTCTTGCCGGGCAGCCCAGCGCATCATCTCCCCTGGGGGCTGGCGGCTGCCTGCCACCAGGGCATACTTGGGGTTGATAAGCTTTCGGGCCACGGTGGAGGAGTAGTTGAGGCCAAGTCTGCCTGCGCCTCCTCCCAGGCCCAGCTGCTGGAACAAGTTCACCTCTTCGGAGATGGCATACAGCTCCCTGAACTCCACATCGAAGGGCTCTACGTACTGCCCTGTCAGAAGGAGGAGAAGGTTCCTGTCCACGTAGGAGGAACTCCAGGTGAACCTGGAATGTGAGGATGAAAAAGCAGACATGTGTGGCCGGGCTGCTCTTTTGTCCTGCCCGTCATCCCCACCCCTATAGCCAGACTGCCTGCTGCTGGACAGAAGAGCCGTGAAACCTTCCTGCCGGACTGCTTTCTCTCTGTCAGTCTAAATCCTCCCTTTCCCTAGGTCTTGGCCTCAAATGCAGAAAGCAGGCAGTGGACTCTGGGAGGAGGGCATGAGAAGTCAGGCTGGGATTCAAACCTAGTTTCTACCTCTGTATACCTTTGAAAAAAACAATGGGCCTCAGCCATGTGTAGTGGTGTAGACCTGTAATTCCAGTATTCTGGGAGGCTGAGGCAGGAGGATTCCAAATTTGAACCAAACCTGGGCAAGCTGGTGAGACTCTGTCTCAAAATAAAAAATAAAAAAGTGGCCCAGTCAGGGATTTAGCTCAGTGCTTCTGCCACCTGCCTTGCAAGTGCAAACACCCGAGTTTGATCCCCTGTACCAAAAAAAAAAAAAAGTGCCCCAGTGTGAAAGCCCTGAGTTCAATTGCCAGTACTACAAAAAGAAAAAAAAAGGTAGGAGGCCCTTCAAAGGACCTAGGGTACAAAATGTTAGAGATTACTTAACTCAGAGTTGTGAGGCTCAAATGAAATAACAAAATATTTAGCTGAGTCCCTGGTACACACACACAGTTAATAAACAGTAATTGGGTTGTCCTATTCTCAATACTGTTTCTTATTGGTTCTTTGAATTTTCAGAGCACTTAATTTGTGTCAAACAGCCCACAATATAATCTTGAAAGAGGACTTATGCCATTTATTAACTGCTTCATGTGCTGAAGTCTTTTCTTTACCTAATTTTAATTTACTCAGAGGACAGAGATTGCACACATACAGTCTCTCATGTGTCTAGTAATTCATGTTTAAACTGAAATTCTGAAGATGGACCTCTCTGCCTCACATTGCCTTCTGGATATTACCCATTCTACCTCCTGCTTGTCCCACCTAACAACTAGTTGCTGTGGACCATGAAAAACAGGCAGCGCTTAATGCCCATGAAGAGTTGACCCTCTTTCTGGAGTAATCCATCAACCAGAAGACTTGAGGAAAGGACTGGCTGGAGGCAGTTTGCCATTGGGACAGACAGTATGTCACAACTGAAATAGGAATCAACAACAATAACAATAAAATCACCTCATGACTGTGCAGGCTCCCATGCAGCACCTTCCTGAATAGTTACCATGAACATTTACCTCCTGTGACCTGGCCCAACTCACCTGTAGGATCCAGTGGCTACTTTGTCACCATCCACCATCAAGAACCTCGATGACAGGGTCCCCTTGATCTTCCCCATGGGCATATAGAAGCCGACACCTGTCACAGACCGGACACGGATGTTCTGTTGAGAAGATAAGCACTGTCACCCTGTGCTGTAGTCCTGTGCCAAGGCTTTGCTGTGGCAGAGGAAGAACCCTCTGGTGCAAGGACCCTGCCTGCTGACTCCTGTCTCGATTCTGTTTCCATCAGTCTTACATATACAACTCCATATGGAGAGCAGGAGGAAGTCACCAAATCTTTGAGCATGGACAGGCCCAGAGGGTTTCCTTCTCTTCCCAAAGTTCCTCAGAAGAGAATCACAGCCCCAGATTTGAATTTGACGGCAAAGTCAGTGATTCTTCAGGCTGAGCACCCCAGAAATGGGCCAGAGCTACCTCAGCCTCAGCAGCCTTGGGCTAAAAATTAAGCTGGGCATGTAGTGTAGCAATTATCAGTTCCTGAGTCAAGGCTTTATACAGAAGAGAAGAGGTTGAGATCTTGAACCTAACTTCAGCCAAGCCCCTGAACTGGGGTGGAGGCAAAGGGAGAAGGAAAAGGAGGAGGAGGAAGCGAAGGAGGAGGAAGAAGAGGAAGAGGAGGGAGTCTCCATCGCATCTGCTTACCCCCTCCCCCAGTGGCACAACTTACCCGAATACGGAAGTCAGCGAGCTCCAGGCCTTGACACATCTCCAGGAAATATTTCACTCCTGCCTCATCCAGGATGATGTACACTGGGACCCGGCGCTTAGAGGCAGCATCCACAATGTCTTGGAAAATATCACTATCAGTGAAGAGGTCCATGACCACAGCAATGACCTGGACAGGGAAGGGCGCTGGTGAGGGAGGGATGTTGTGCCAACACATCTTTGGAGACACTCCAGACCAGACAGGACCAGCTGGCTCTGGGGTCACAAGTGGCCAAGAGTCAAAAACCCTACCTGCACTATTCCTGGGTCCTTCAGGTCCCCACCCATTTTTGAGCACATGAGTGTAGGAGAGGGGCTCCAGGGTGCAGGTCCTGCTGCTTAGACCTCATCCTGGATTGCTCCCCACCAACACACACACACACACACACACACACACACACACACACACACACACACACACCCCAATAATTCTTTAGAAGCCACAACAGAGGAGAACTAGGAGGCTGAGGAGAGCTGCTCCTACTGCCCCAGGGAAACCAGCAGATGATGCCAAGGTGCAAGGGATGGGCTCACTTCCATCAGCTGCAGATCTACTTGAACATCTCTTTCTCAGCAGGCCTGGGCACTCTGATCTCCTTGCAGCTGTGCAGAGCCTGCACTTCCCCGAGCACAGATCTGGGCAGCGCTCCAGTTGGCTCGGATGCCTTGGGCCTCTGGTGTCCAGCCCTTCCCACCCCATCCTCAGAGCAAGGTCACTGCTCTGGACCCTTCACTTGCAAAAGTCAGCCCTGATTCTGCACCCTGGAAGGAGAGGCCTTTTGCAGCCTGGAGCATATCCACAGTTCTAACTGCAGCCGCTTCTAATTTCCTGCACAAACCACTCTCCACTCCAGCCTCCAGGGTATTCTCCTTAGCCCCTAACACTGCACCAGATGCAGGGGAAAGGGTCAGGCTTTAGGGCAGAGAAGTCTCTTTTAACTTTGGACCTACCACTTTCTATTTATGTGACCTTAGGCAAGACACTTGTCCTCAAGGAGCCTGCTCCCTCATCCATTAAACGGGAACACCTTGCACTTCACACAGTTGCTGCAAGGGTTAGAGATAGTATCTGTAAAGCATCAAACACAAGGCCCGGTTTGTAGTAAGTCTTTACTAAATATCCAAGGGAGTACATTTGGGCAAACAGGCCTGGCACACCCACTCCACATCTGGCTCTTCGGAACCCCAGCTTTCTTGGCTGAAAAATGGAGGTAATAATAGTGCCTATCCCAAAGGTCTGTCTGAGGATCTAGCAAGGTAAACCATGAAAGTACTTGATGCTAGAAAATACTAGCATGTGGCACAGGGTAAGCTCCCCTTTTTTTTCTTTTTCCTTTTTTTGGAGATAAGATTTTGCTGCATTGCCCAGGCTGAATGCATGATCCTCCTGCCTCAGGATCAAACTCAACTTTCTGAGTTGTTGGGACTACAGGTATATGCTATCAAGGGTAAGTTCAATAAGCTCATTCCCAGCACCACATCTTTACCATCACTCTCGACACCTTCACAGGCATGCTCTACAATACCCCTGCCTCTAAGTCTCCCCACTCCTGCATCACTTAAGCTCTCCACAGGCTCACATTTGCCAGCCAATCATTAACATGAGTGTGAATGATTACTGAGCCCTGCAGGAAGAATGATCTAAAGACAAATAAGCTGCAATCACCAACTTCAAGGGGTTAATCCAGGTGGATGAAGAGACAACTGCACATAATAAGTAAGGCGTAGGGTAAATGAGATAAATGCCTTAAGGGTTCCAAGTGACATGTAATGAAGGGGAAGGAGATAGGCAGCTATTATTTCTAGCCAGGGAAGAACAAGAAAGGCTTCAGTCAGAGTGAAGAATAGGACGCCTTTGGCTGCCATGAGAAAGGAACAGGAGGCAAACCCAACAGAGAAGTCCCTTGGGTGGCCATGTGCAAGTACAGCCTACACACGGGCACCGGGGTGAGGAGGGGAGTGCGACTGTTCCTGCCTTAGGAAGTGACACCTTGTCTAAGGTGCCAGTGCACAGGTGCCACATGGCTAGTGGAGGCCCAAGAGGTGTGTACATCAGGCATAGGGTGCAGCACCAACAAAGGCAGTGTGATGGTTAATTTTAGGTGTTAACTTGGCTGAGTCCTGGTCAAATGTTATTCTGGACATGACTATGAAAGTGGGTTTTGGATGAGATTAACATTAAAACAGTGAGCTTCAAGTAAAGCGGATTCCCCTCCATAATGTGAGTGGGCCTCTTGCAATAGCTTGCCTTCACAGAACAAAGGCTGACCTCCCCTGAGCAAGAAGGAATTCTGCCAGCAGCCTCCTGCCTTTGAACTTGGACCGCAATACTTCTCTGGGTCTACAGCTTGCCTCTCTCCCTAAGATTCTGAAATTGCATCTCCAGGATCCTACAAGCCAATTATCTAAAAGCAATCTCTCTTAATCTCTCTCTCTCTCTCTCTCTCTCTCTCTCTCTCTCTCACACACACACACACACACACACACACACACACACGCACACACACCCTGTTGGTTCTGTTCCCATTGAAAAGCCTGACTAATGCAAGCACTGAGGATGGGAATTCACATGTACTAACTACTTTCATGGCATCTTATGCGAAAGCACTCATGAGTATCTAAGTACTCATGCACTTACATGAATTTTCAAATTTGACTCTCACAAGTATTCTACAAGGATTCACATTTGAGGAAGTAAACATAGCGGGGCAAAGTAACGTGCCTGAGGTCATAGAGCTAGCATGTGGCAGAGCAAGAAAGTCAGGTACATCCAGACTCCAGAGACTCATTTCACTGCTTTACAGGGACAGGATTGCTTCAAGGTACTTTAGAAACATCAAATCAACTAGACTTTCTTGGAAAAGATGAAACAAGATAGATAAACACCTAGCAAGATTGACAGAAAGAGAGGAGTTGCAAATAAGATATGAATGAAAAAGGACAAATACCTATGTACATAACAAATTTAAGAAATCATAAAAATGGTAAAAAGAATATTGAGGTCAAGTCTACAATAATGAATTTGAACATGCAAATGACATGAATAATGTATTACAAAAGAACTAAATGTAATATACCATAATCAAGTTAGGTTTATCATAGGAATGTAAGGATGATTCAACATCAGAAAATATATCATCTTAATTTATAACATGGAATCAAGAGGAGGAAATCATATATTTTCTTAACATTTTAAAAATTCTCATAAACCAAAATCCTTAGTTGTCATAAAAACTCTCAGAAAGCCAAGACTAGAAGGGACCTTCCATAACTTCATGAAGTCTATCTACCAAAAACCTATCTGAAGCATTTTACTTAATAGAGAAAGCTTAGATGGATTCCCTTTAAGTATAACACAAGCCAAAGATACTCTCTATTGCCTAATTGCTCAACATAGTATTAGAGGTCCTAATCAATGCAATAAAATCAGAAAAAGAAATAAAAGGTTTAGAAGAGACAAAACTACCATGAGTTATTTTCATAGAAAACCCAGTAAGGGGGAAATAAAAGAAAAAGAAAAAAAAAGTGCTATCAAAATAAAAACCATTAGAATAAGAGAACCCAGTAAGATTGCCAGATACAGAGAACCGGAAGTACGGTTAAGGGGGAAGGTGGTGAGGCAAGATGGCGGCAACCAAGAGGAAGTGGCGTGGGGACTTGGTAGTTTCGGCAAAGAATCAAAAAGAAACAAAAAAGATGCTGAGCCTCCAGCAGTCATGGGCTGTGTCAGAAGAGATGGAGGAAGCAGAGAAGGTCCGTATCCCAGGCCCCGTTTGCAAGGGCAAGTGGAAAAATAAGGAACGGATTCTCATCTTTTCTTTCAGAGGAATACATTTCAGAACAAGACATTTAATGCAAGACTTGAGAACGTTGATGCCTCATTCTAAAGCAGATACTAAAATGGATCGTAAAGATAAATTCTTTGTGATTAATGAGGTCTGTGAAATGAAAAACTGCAATATATGCATCTATTTTGAAGCTAAGAAAAAACAAGATCTTCATATGTGGCTTTTGAATTCACCTCATGGGCCCTCTGTCAAATTCCTTTTTCAAAATATTCACACCCTAGCAGAACTGAAGATGACTGGAAACTGAAAGGTTCTGGCCGATTTTGCCTTTTGACCCTGCTTTTGATGAATTGCCACATGATGCTTTGTTAAAAGAACTCTTAACTCAGAGTTTTAGTAAACCACGATATCATCCCAAAAGCCAACCATTTTTGGACCATGTATTTACTTTCACCATTCTGGATAATAGGATATGGTGTCTAAGCTTTCAGGTCATAGATGAAGATGTTCAACTTGTAGAAATAGGGCGTCGTTTTGTCTTAAATCTGAGAAAGATTTTTCAGGGAAGTTTTGGAGGACCAACTTTATATGAAAATCCTTACTACCAGTCACCAAACATGCATCGGCATATCATAAGATCCATCACGGCTACAGAATACAAAGAGAAACAGCAAGTAAAAGATGTGCAGAAACTGAGAAAGAAAGAGCCAAAGACTGTTCTTCCACATGACCCCACTGAAGATGTTTTTGTTACACCAGCTGAGGAAAAACCAATAGAAATACAGTGGGTAAAAATCAGAGCCAAAAGTCAATTTGAAAGCAAGGGAAAAAAGGATTTACAAAAGGCAAAGAAAATTGAAACAGAAGATGAACAGTGGAAATGCAAAATGAATCAATGGATAACTAAGTTTTCCAAATATTGTATATTTATTTTGTATTCAGTGTATAAATACATCTATTATCCTGGACTACTTTATGTCAAATTAGTGTGCCATTTGAAAGAAAAAAAAAATCTTAGAGTCAGTGGTGTTTATCTTTTTCTAAATAAAGCACTGTATCACCAAAAAAAAAAAAAAAAAAATTGCCAGATACAGAAAAACTTTCAAAAACAATAGCCTTCATTCACTCCAAAAAAATTAACTGAAATAAAATAAAATCCATTCACTATTGCATCTTAAGCATATAGTGCATAGGAATTATTACCTTTAGAGAAAATTTTTACAAACCCTTTTAAAAGACATGTGAGTAGGGCTGGGGATTTAGCTCAGTGGTTCTGCTGCCTGCCTCTCAAGCTCAAGGTCCCCAGTTCAATCCTTGGTACCAAAACCAAAAAACAAAACAA